AGTTCTTTCATTCCTCTTATTTCCGTCGATGGCATACCCTTTTTGACGTCATAGTCAGCTTTTGGGCCAATCGTAGAAGGCCGATACGTCGCCAATAGCGTAATTTAAAGTGGGTTTCGAAATTTCCTGAAAGTTTGTTTCTCATCTCTATTGTGGGCTACTCAATGTTTTTTACTGATGCAACAGCTCATCTAGAACGATTTCACTGATACGATAGCTCATCCAGAAACATCAAATTTTTTTTTTGTAGTGACTCATTTATTTGTTTTAATTTTTACTCAGACTCTTTTTTCCTCCAATTATAGATTCCATCTTCCAAATAGAAATGATTTTAAAGCTAAATGTACTATGATGAGATACTATTCACTGTACCTCGAATTTGAATTGATGCGAACTCCATGAGTATATCGACCCAGATTTCAAAGCAAGCGAAGCTATTCTGTACCTTCACATGCTGGCCGAGAATGTAAACAAAGAGCAGAAGGATGCGATTTGCTCTTAAACGTGTCAGATATCTCGAATCGGAATATTTAAAATTTGTGTCAATGATATTCTTCTTCCTTTATCTTTCTTCATCTACATTATTTTTATCTTACATTATCTACTCGCGCCACTCGTTATAATGTAAATATGTTGTTGTGGTGAAGTCCTGAGAACTCGTCACCCATCCACCGTAAATTTATTTCTCTATGCTTTTATAATTGAAGAGGATTTTTGTTTACTAGAAATACGAAAAGATTAACCGAGTGTCCATAGGTTGTCTCACCGCAAGTCCGAGCGCATCCCATGGTACGACCCTGGAGGCAATGTATCAGCTCCAAAAATTTGAACGTCATGGCTTTTTTCGTCTATACTTGCACGTGCTATCTCCGTTTACTGCACTCTGACACAGTAAACGCGCCGTGAAATTTTTACGGTTTAGCCTTTGATTCCCTGTCCGTATATTTCTAGCATTTCACTTCGCACTGAGTTACGATGAACCAGAGCATACCACGTAAAACCAAAATATTATGCTCCGCAATATTTAATTGTCCTTCACAATCGTCGGCCACGTACAGGTGAAACCATGACGCGGACGACGGCCAACCAACATCGTGTTCCCGCTAACACAGCAACGATACCGCATCGTCTGCCTGATCCTATTTCAAGGATAACGCGTGAGCTGCATTCCTGCCGCAGTGCGATCCGAAGGAATGAACCGTGACACAGATCAGGCATTAGGACCGTTACCAGGTAAACATCAGGAAACATGGTCCGTGTGGTCTACAACAGAGGTTCGTATACCATTGTCCGGTCATGAATGGAGGTGTGATTTCTCGACTCAGATTGTATCTTGTCTCGTTCGCCGTCGTGACCGCAATAATCGGTGTTGAAAGTGAAAGTAATCTGTATACCGGAAACAACAGCAACAACAGCAACAACAACAACAACAACAATGACCGGAATCAACAATAACAGCAACGACAACAATACCGACACAATAGATGCAGTATACGTGGACCGGCTGCAAGGTGCAGGTTGTATGAACTGGCCGTCGTGATTGTTGCCGTTGCCACTAATTGCGCGTTAAAAGCGATCTTCCATAACGGCTTTGTGGAGTCCTCGTCCCACTTGCAAGACATACGACGAAGTCTGCCAATGTCATGTTGCACCTTGTAACGCTTGAGCGTCGCTGATTGGTCACACGAGAACTTCGTCTGTGACTCAGCGGTAGAGCGGAAGGATACTAAGCTGCTTTCGTTAAGTCGGCAGGCTGTTTGTCGTTTGTTCGTTTAGTGTGAACAGGTATCTGATGTGCATCTCACGGTGTCAAGATTGTCGTTGGCTGCGGGCGATAGGTGGAAGCTCTTCCTGAGCACGCGATCGATCGTCAACATAAAGGTTTGTCCATGGCGACCACCGGTCAGTGTGCTATGGCCACTGACAGGATGAGAACGCAGTGATGTCTTGAAGCTGTTCCGACTGTAGAGCGAGCTTCCTACTTTTGATAATGCTTCGGCGTCTAGCTTCGAGCGGCCACGTGCAGCCAAAGCACGGCGGAAGGCAAAAGTGTGAGTGCTGAAGGCAGGGCATCGGAAAGGAACCCCTTGCCTTTCTTATCCTGTTGGATATTATAGCCTTAACTTGTTTTACCTGACACTTGAAAACAGACGAGGCTACACATGCGAGCATCGTACCTTGAACAACGCTCGCGTTGCAGGGGCACACGTGCAAACGTTTAATTAGGACACAGTCGCGCTGAATGACAACATGTGGTACTGCGGTGCATGGAGTGTCGAATTTGTTGATGGCGGGATTGAAAGTAACCACCGCCAAGTTCGAAACTAATCGGAAGAACGAAAAATTTTTTCCCTAGGGGACGAATAGACTTCAACGGGCCGTACATCATTGCATTTTTTTAAAAATAGCAAATGACTCAGTGCGTACACATTCATTAAGACACGCTATTTGATTAGAGCTGCATCGTTCTATTCGTGCCAGTAACTGAGGAAGAAGGGCCGTATTGTTTTTTTTTTGCTTTTTTGTTTTTTTGTTTGTTTCGGTGGCAGCTTTGATTCGGTATGCTTAGCGCGAACGCTCTGCATTGCGTTTTCATGAGCCAGAACGTTCGGATGCACGACGTCACGTATTTGCAAACAGGAAAGAATCTGCTGAAGGCGGGGCTCCGGTTGATTGTAGATTGTAGCATCTCTACTTCTTCCTTGGAAAACCTGTTTCTTTGTCGCACTCGTGCGTTAAAATAGCTACCTAAGAGCAGTAACAGCTAACAACAGCAGTAACGGCAGGGCGTGCACACTTGACACGTACGTACGAAAAATGCGTGCATGTTTTTTTTTTTTTAAACGCACATTCGAGTTGTTAAATTCAAGGCGTTGCTAAAGGTGTGCTACATGCAAACAGGGCAAAGTCGGCGTACAACTTTTTAACCCTCCGAGTTTCGCGAGTGCATGTCTCAACAAAAATATTAAGAAATATAGTGAGACAGAGCGGCAACAAGATATCAGCCGGTGTAAAGGGATCTGTCGGGAAAATAGGGTACATGTTGCGGTATTCAAAATCCCTTAATCAAATACATGCATAAAAATACGCGAATGATATAGCCTTCGTAAGGATGACAGTAACAAGTTATTATTTTTTTTTTGTAAGAAATGTTACAGGGACTCCAAAACGGCTTGCTCAGTTTTCGACGAAACCTAATAAGATTGTGGTTCTGAATACCTGGATGCATTGAATGCGCTGGCAACGTGTAAACACATGAGTTGTTGAGCTTTGTGACAGCCTGTCTCAGCTATAGTGTCATGTTAGCTAGTATACAGTAACGTTTGGAGGTCGGCTAGTCGGTGGTGCATAGTAAACATATAATTAAAACAGCGCAAAAAAAAACACAAAAAAAAACACCAGGACAAGTAGAAGAAGGGACACAGACACAGTATACATCGATGTCAGAAGTATGTGTGCATCGCTCTAAGAGACACAGGCGCGAGAGCGTAGCTTTGCAGTACCCTTTGTTTGGATGAACACTTCCGGTGTGTGTAGTACATGTGCGTGCATCTAGGAAGGGGGTGGGGGAGCGCTTACAAAATGTCCCAACGCGCTGAGGCGTTGCAGCACCTGGAACTACCGCGAGACTCTGCCATCACATACTTTGCACAAGTCTACGCTCGTATGGTCACCATGTATTAAAGTAAAAGATCTCAGACCAGCAGCCGTACTGTACTACTGTACTAGCCAAAGTGCTATTAACAGCGGGGACAAAGAACATCATTTGTGCAGGCCCCTGCAGCAGATTCGACTCGTGGTTTGGCTCGGCATGCAACAAAACCTTCTGATGTCGCGTGCTCGGCGTTCGTGTGCTGGATAAGGCAGCACTGCAGCACTCTTTAGACGGGGATATTAAGCCTCTCAATGCTACGCGAGGAGACGCGTCATGGAAAAAGGATTCTTGTCTCGCGCGGCGGCGGCCGCTGGGAGACAACCTCCGATCGGGAAGATGGCTCAGGCGGCCCCGATATCCTTCGCGAAAACCGGATACGCATCCTGTCTCCAGCGAAAGCCTCGCTGCCGCCGTCGGCCCGTGAGAACCGTCCTCCCTGACAACACGGGAATGAGGAGGACGCCTGCTGCTCACCAACACAACCGACGTCATCGAGTAAACATCAGGCGCCGGTGCGCGGTTTGTCACAATCGGTAACAAGAGGAGGCTGGTTTACGGGGCACCTTAACAAAAACAAACAAGGCTGCCAATGTGCCCTCAAGTCGACAGTGCTACAAATTCTAGGTGAAGACCGATAGCGACGAACTGCAGCGCTGCGCTATGTCCAGGTGACATCCGCTGGCTAGTGTCCTCGCAGAAGAGGATGACGCATCAACTTTAGCTAGCGAAAGTGCACGACAAGCAGCTGCAGTGGCAGTGTTACACGATCTTTGGACGTAGGATGTCCAGCTCGCGAACGAAGAACAAAGGAAAACCGAATGCCATTGTCTGCGCGTTAGTATATTGATCCACTCTTTGGAACTCGTTTTGATTTCGGATGGACTCAAGTGCATCCGCACATCGACATCCGTGCTGAAGAGAAGAACCGTCAAGTTTCCCCCACTTCATAGGTATACAATCCGGGGGAGTACTGAGCCGCATGACGTATTCTTGGGCAGTTCCTTGCGGGGGTTCTTCCAAGATTGTCAGTATGAGGGAGGGGTGTAACGAACTTCTGGAAGAGCTCTTGGGGACCAGGGGTGGGGGTATATTGGTCTGTGTACTTTCTATAGGAAATTCTATGGGGGTGTTGGATTCAGCTTGAAACGGGGGGGGGGGGGGGGGGGGAAGGAGGGATGTTAAGGGGGAGGATGTGTAGATCACTTGTCTATTGTCTAACCCGACCTACGAACACAGTAACACTGCACATTCACGACACTCAGTCGGCCCAGCTGTCTCGTTGGCCTGGACCGCTGTCCAGGTAAACCGTGTACCGGCTTAGAAAGGGGGCCGGGCAAGCACTCACCGGCGAAGCAGGCGACGACGACGAGGAGCGCGACACCGCTGAGGCAGTTCCTCCGGCCCATGGCCCCCACCGAGGGGAAGGCCGACGACACACCGGGCATGCTGGCTGATTTCTCAGCGTCGGTAATCCTGGGCGGCGTTGTGCGTCCTCATGGCGTCTTGACCGGCGGCGCCACGTTTCGTCCTGTCGTTCTTGCACGCCTGCCGAGACGTTACTGAGGCGCCCCTGGTCCCCGGCCGCCCCGGCGGACGGAACGAGGCCACGGGGCGGCCAACCGGTTTGCCGACGGTGAAAGTGCACCGCCAACCAGCGCGCCGCCGTATACGATGTCGTGTGCCGCTGCCGGCTCACATGGACGTGCAACCGGCCACAGAGTGGAGAGTCTTTGCGGAGTGCACTGTTGACTGCAACGCGCCACGGTTCGAGCCCCGGAGGGAAGGCATCGGCCCGCTGTGTCATCGTGACGTCGTACAAGACTCGGATTAAGGGAACGAGGGCGGACGTGCTGAACGTGTGCAGATGCAGAATGAAGAACCTGTCTCTCCCGTTTGATGTTTGTTTATGCTGGTTGTTATTAGAGGGTTTTAGTAGATCTTTCCGATACCCCCGATAACGACAGCCGATAAAATACGATGCATGTGCAAAGACGTCGGCGAAGTATCGGGTACCGTTATTGGAGACATCGGAACGATCTACTAAAACTCCGTATTGTTTTAACAAAGGCGATTCTTCTCGCCTAGTTCAAGCTGTTGCCCCCTTCCAAGAGTAGTCATGATGAGTCTTGTACGCGTAACTGAAAAAAGTAATCGATTACTAATATAATTACTTTATTGAAAAATGTAATTGATTACAGTAACTTAGTACTGCATCACAAGAGCAATTGAGAAATAATCATAAAGTAATTGATTACTTTTCTTGTTACTTTCACAATGGAGGAAACAAGCACTCTTGACAGCTCGACAGCCCGTTGCTGAGCGCGTTGACATTGTAACCCTTCTGGTATATTGGTATCTCTTTTTAGTTCTTTATTGGTAAAAGAAAGTGCACAACGTTGGTGCAACATGGACGAGTGACGACGCACGGGCAGAGAGAGAGAGATTTTTTACACGAAAATACTGAATGATTTTAGGTGCTTTGGAAAGATATAATTGAAATCGATTACAGAAAAATACAGCAGAAAAATTCTAACTGGAACGACTCGAATCTTATTTGAAATTGAGGTAACTAGCTGGAGTCGCATAGATGAACCTTTGCAGAAAACTATTAAGTCAGGTATTGTCTTCTTATAATCTTGTCTCACTTGACGAACACTGAAGAAAAACGAATTGCATACCGTCAGATACGTCTTGTTTGTGGCGTTTTAGACATCTTCGTCCCCAGACGACGACAAAACAACATGTTTGCAGATACATTCTATAGTATGCTTCTGGAGATTGTTAAGATTTTGATAAAGGTGCTTTCCTGGGGTCGGCAGGCCACTTTGGTTGTTGATAACTTTACTATAAAAAAACGGCTTTCTGAGAAAGTCAGATAAGTAATGCTCAAGGTTTTTTACCCCTTGTAAGAAACGCTAAGGATTTGTCACCTTTTGTTTGTCTTTATCGTCTGTTCGTGTCGTGTTATATTTTTTCAACCACCATCTCGTTAAAAAAAAAAGCAAAATCTTAGAATGTTTTTGTCTCATTTTTGTGTGTTTCTTAGTACCAGGTGTCTTTCAAGCTGTGACGTTCCCAGCTCAGTTGCCTTTGAAATATTTTGGTTGACTCTTTTACACCTTTTATAAACCCTTTTCGCTTACTCTCGTTCCCGGCCACCTGGTAGGCACATCCGGTATGACCGACGCAAAGTTACCAGAAGAATTCAACTTGCAAATAGTGAAAAACAAAAACAAATTAAAGACGTTTACAAAGTTTCTGTAATGCCGAATTATAGAGCAGCTCTTGAGGAGGAGGAGGAGGGGAGGGTACGGAGGGGAAACTATGCCCCTCCTTCCTCTCTATAAACTCCCCTTCTTCTCTCCTGGTCCTCTCCCATTTAGTGAAAATCTTTCGCTAAATTTCCCGCTAAATTTAGCGGAAATTTTCCCGCTAAATATAGCGGGGAAATTTTTCCGCTAAATCTAGCGGGGAAATTTTTCCGCTTAATTTAGCGGGAACATTTCCCACTAAATGTAACGGTAACATTTCCCCGATAGATTTAGCGGGTAAATTGTCCCGCTAAATTAAGCGTGGAAATGATTCCGCTAAGTTTAGTGGGAATTTCTTTCCGCTCAATTTAGCGTAGAAAATTTTTCGCTAAATTTATCGGGGAAATTTTCCCGCTAAATTGATGTGTGACGTCACGTCACGTGAAAATATATGTGTGACGTCACATGACGTCACGTGTGACGTAATTATGGGAGACGTCCCGCTAAACTTAGCGAAAAAATTTCTCGGCAAATTTAGCAAAAAGTTTCCCGCAAAATTTAGCGGAAAAGTTTTACCCTCGGGACGTCACATAAAATTGACGTGTGACGTCAATTTTATCACACGCCAATTCCACGTGTGACGTCACGTACGTCATGTGCGACGTCACTTGACACGTGAGGTGGAAATTCACATGTGACGTCATTATGGGAAACGTCCCATAATACAACGCGCGGCTACGCTGACGCCGACGACGACGCCGACGCCGCTGAACTCGGAAACGGGTGCCTAAGAGCTGCGCTCTAAAGAGAGGGGAGACAAAACAAGAATGGTTAACGGTTACGCTTATGACCTGAATGTCTTCAATTGTCGTGGCGGCGGCCAAGCAGTGCTTTCGCCCATACTGGAAGTGACAGTGTTCCAAGATGGCGGCGCCCTCGTGAAATAAGTCCATAGAGATTATTACGTGACAAGCCCTGTCATGTCGTTGCCTCTCCTAGAAGCGCCGCCCCAGCACGCACCGACATTTCGACTACCCGAATAAATCTTCAGCGCTTTGTGCACTTACGCCGAGGATGGAACCACATATCAAAGATGAAGCAGCAGTACCTCCGCAGCACCGTTGCTGGTACGGCTTTTCGAGGGCGTTTGAGTAGCGTCCGGTTCGAGGGACACGTCTTTCCTACCTCGCATGCTATTCCGGGGGAAGTTCCCGCGCGCCTGTCGCCACGCGTGCGGATGGATGGTTGCCGATGCGACAGCCGTATTGATTCCTCCAACGAGCTCTTGTTATTGATTCCTCCAACTCTTCTTGTGCCTCGGAGGAGCATAGAGAAAAAACGAATATTTCCCATCGATCCGTCTTCGCGCCGTGCCCGGACATGACCCTTCCGGACACCTCTTCGAGGACTCCCAGGACTTCCAGGAGCCTAAAAGTGCGCGTGCAAAAACAAAACAGTTCCGCCATGGCCACTTTTCCTTCCCGGCAGGTGTCCGCTGGAAGATGCATCCTACCAGGATGGCCCTTGGCAGGCGGGAAGCATTGCCGAGGATGCCGGGCTCTGCCGGTGTCGGGTTCGGAGGAACGTCTTTGGTCCTTCCGAAGCGGCGACGAGCGCTGCTTGCCGAGTGCGTGCGTGGCCAATCGGCAGCGTTGGCACGTTGTTGCGCGCTTTCTCCTTCCATGGTGGCCTCCTCCGGTGACGTCTCCGGTTGAGCGACAGCCGCTACGGGGAGGAAGATGGCTTGACAGGCGGCCTCCGTGCGAACACCTTGGGTTCCTTCTGGTAGAGGCGAGGACGGTATGGGGGTGCGGGCCGCGGAAGTGGCCGTCTTCCGACGTCCGTCTCGAAGCTAATCGTTAACAAAAACAATAGTACCTGTTTGAGAGCGAGGTGCCGCGAAATTTGAGATGGACAATACGATGCATGAGTACCCTAGAGTACTCCATGCGAGGCATCTGAAACAAAGTAAACATAGGTGAGAAAAACTAGAAAAAAAGTGCAGTGTCTTTTTTACTGTTCACCTACTTAACGAAATATAATTCAGACGCGGTGACATTGCTAATGCATCATCTGTGATGGAAGTGCTGCACCGTTCGCTCCAAATTGCGCCATGAACGAAAGACTGCTACACCTTGCGCCAAAATCCCATTTTTGCTAAGAATTGCGCCACATCTGCGCCAACTAGGCCTTGACAAAAAAAAAAAAAGAAAAAAAAAAAGAAGGAAATATGTTTAATTATTAGTAAACCCTAATATCCAGAGAAATAGGCGGAACGGAAAATGGTACAAATGTGCATAGTTTATCTCATCTTAGGTCAGAGCCAGGCACGTAGCCAGGGAGGAGGCCCATGTGGCCCGGCCCCCCCGAAATCTTCCATTTTGCATGGGTCCTCCTCTCCCCCTCCCCCTCATACAGCATTTTGTCATGGGTGCCCGTGCCCCCCCCCCGAAACAATATCCTGGCTACGTGCCTGGTCAGAGCACAGTCGAACGTTGGAAAGTATACAACCAGAAACACACATACTAAAATCGGAAGTCACAGGACATTTGCTGTATTTGATGGGTCTAGCTGATGAAAGAACACGTATAGGAATATGACGAATTCATGAATTGATGATGTCGCTATTTGATGCTGGCTGATTGGTCCCACTGGCCTGTAGCGTCGTCTGCACTTCTCGTCAGATTTCTCGTCTACCGCGCAGGCTGGTTGATCGCCGACATCGTCTGTATTTCCAAGCAATGTCAGTTTCCAGGGGTCTCTAGAAAATTCTGCAAAATAGTAGGATGGCAGTTAATGGCTGGATGCCCATCACTTGGGGTGGCCCGGGGAGGGGGGGGGGGGGGGGGAGAAAATGCATGGGTATTTTATGAGTCGGCTGGATTTCGGGGGGAGGGGGGAGCACTAAAGAAGTCCCCCCCCCTGGCTCCACCACTACTCCTGATGAGATCACTTGATTATCATGTCTGCCACTTGCCTCCGTACCGTGGCCCTTGCGTCGCTCGCGTCACCTTCCTCTCACCAGAGCGCGGGCATCGAGCTTCGCCGCTTCGCACCGGAGTGCTAGGAGCAGCGGCTGATATGGGGAGCGATCTGGGTTAGCGCGATAGTCTCGGAAATTATGCCCAATACTATTAGTGGTCTACCTTTCTTGACTTTAACTGTAGATTAACCTCCAATTAAAAAAAAAAAAGAGAAAAAAAGCTGTGCCGAGAAACAGCGTATATGATCGACATCTTGTAAACCCTGAGATGGGGAACGATAAAAAAAAAACGGACGATTGTTTTTGATGGCATTTTACAGACACTCA